TAATCTATGACTTATATTAATCAAATAACCATATATTATTCCTTATAATATTTACTCTCTCTTAACAAATCATCCATCAAGTTGCTATGGTGAAGGCAACCCAAAAGGACCATGCACAACCGGATCAAATACTTGCCTAATATAGTTGCAGCCTTAGACACTATTCCAACAACTTGTTCCCATAAGAACCATTTTTTAGATTTCACACTTTCTTCTAATCACTTAGATAATTCCAAACCTACTCGTTTAACTGACTACACTGGTCACACAAGTACTTCATCCGACATTCATACTTATATTAAGTTCGTTGTTTGGTTGGAGAGAAGGCCACCTAATGAGTTTAAATGAAAAGGTGTTTCAATATTTCTTATCAAACAACTGATAGTATTTCAATGAGAAACCACTAAGACAATTCCTAGTCTGTCTTTACCTAGAAGTAAGAGATCTATGTCCGGGATCAACAGTTTTGTGTCTTTATATAGACAACACACAAAATTTCCCAAATATACATTGATTTATTTCTTTATCTTTGACACTCTTGCATGAAGGTCCTTGTGATCTTCTGACAGTCTTGTTCGTGGTTCTTAATGTTACTTTCAGGTTTGCAGTGTAGCCCTAGTTCTCTAAACATGAAGGTTCGTAATAAATAGGTTAAAGAGTGTTTAACTACGAAAGGTGAATGATGATGCGACAACTTATGATGATAACAATTTAAAAAGGCGTGTGCAAAATTTGAACGGGTGTTTCAATATTTCTTATCAAACAACTGATAGTATTTCAATGAGAAACCACTAAGACAATTCCTAGTCTGTCTTTACCTAGAAGTAAGAGATCTATGTCCGGGATCATCAGTTTTGTGTCTTTATATAGACAACACAAAATTTCCCAAATATACATTGATTTATTTCTTTATCTTTGACACTCTTGCACGAAGGTCCTTGTGATCTTTGATAGTCTTGTTCGTGGTTCTTAATGTTACTTTCAGGTTTGCAGTGTAGCCCTAGTTCTCTAAACATGAAGGTTCGTAATAAATAGGTTAAAGAGTGTTTAACTACGAAAGGTGAATGATGATGCGACAACTTATGATGATAACAATTTAAAATGGTGTGCAAAATTTGAACGGCCAGCTGTTTTTCCGCCGTATGACGCACGGGTCTTAAATCTACAGTTGTTAAGTCACTCTTTTTTAGGCAATGTTTTAGTACCCGATGCATTCTCTTTACGGATTTTCCTCACAATTTGAATGGTATATAAAGGTTTTGATGGTTCCTCACTCATTATCACTTTCAAAATCCTCTGAAAAAATTTATGGCGATCAACAGATTCAACTGTTCATCTTCTTCCTCAAGCTTCATCAATCATCAATAGCCACTTCATCACCTATTCATGATCACATCGTTCATTCTACTCTTCTAACTGTAAAACCTAACGATAATTTGATCATTAATTTGCAAACCTACAAGTATGAGCCCTATCTCCTGCTGATTCTCGAGTGCCTCAAGTATTCTCCACTAGTTCACGCTCTAAAAAAGATGGAGGATGTTCCAATGTCCCTACTGTCCAAGGCATAATCTTCTGCAAGCTATATCAAGGAGGAAAACAAAATCAACTTCGACATTCTGATCAGAAAACCTCAATCACCAAATCCATATTTTGTTCTCTTCTAGGGCTTCATCACTTTGAAGACATGATCAATCCGGAGTCCATCTCTAATGCTTCTCTCTTGGAGATGCCCTATCAAATGGGGTACAAGGAGACCATATCAACTATCTCAAAATTCCAGAAACCAAATCTACCTCCACAAAGGAACGCTCTCTTTAACCTTCGGTTCAAAGGGTTCTCAAAAAAGATAACAGGGTCAGATTGTGCTAGTGAATTGTTATTGACTCTTCTGTATCGCATTTATATTGGGTTGAATGTCGATTTTGGAGCGGTACTCTGGGATCAGGTAATACATATCACACACTCAACGACTCGTCACAACGAAATATTGTGTGCACAGTTTTGGTCCCTTATTCTTCGAAAGGCCATCCTCAAGCACAACATTCTAGTGATGCAAGATCCTCTTGCTTTTTCTGTCTCAACCTCCCATACAACAGGGATCATTATGGGTGATAACTCCAAATTCTTGTTTACCGGATCCATGCTAGATGTTAGGTTTCCTGACGTGCCTGCCTCAAGAAAAATTCCGGAAGGATTTCGCAAGCTTAATGCTTCTGGTTTTCATCCTCTTACCCCAAAAATGAAAGTGACCATTGATGTCGCGGATAAACCTAATAAAGGAGCTAAGGGTGCTAAGAAAGTTTAAAAGAAGATTGTTGCCGAGGAAGGTCCATTATATACTGCAAAACCTTCACCCAAAACGCGAAAGGCACCTGCAGTGTCTTCTACTGCTGCTCCTAAAAGAAGAAAATGGCCTGCTCGCAAGAAAATTTTCCCACTCCAAGTGAGAGTGCAGGTTCAAAATATGAGACTGAATTGGATATTCAGATTGAAGAAGACCAACCTGTTCGCCATGTGGAGGAAGAGAATGTTCGCATTGAAGAGCCTCCTATTTGTAACGAAGGAGAGAATACAAACACTGAGTTAACCCAAACCTTGAATGACTATGTTCCTTCTCCTCCTCCCTTACGTAAACTACTTCAATACCCATCACTATTGCACTATTTCCTCCACCCATTTCTTCATCACAACAAACCAGTGTTCCACTTTCTACTCCAATTTTCACTGATTCTACAATCCTACCTACTACTCTTGCCACTCTTACAGTTTCATTCAACGTATCTGCTACGGGGGCTAAAACATTAGGCTTCTCAACCCATGTTTCACCAGCCACCTACCCTATTCGCATTGATGATCCAGACATGATATTTGGGGATGATAATGATGATGACCTTGGCGGATTCACATACAGTGCATTCCAGATAAGGACCGCAAGAGAAGATGAAGCCACTGTCATACAAGGGCTGCTTATGTCCCTTCATGAAAAGCTTGACAATCTGTTTCTTGCTTCCAAGGATTCATTTTCTGAAGCTTATTCCAAAGCGGTGGTTGAAAATATGTTTGAACGTATAACGAAGGATCACACAGATAATGTAGAGAAGATGAACAAGGCAGTGACTGCTTCTGCTATAGTTTGCAAGACGGCGGCCGAAAAAGTTGATAAACTAATTTTTGACACCACTGTGTTTAACGAAGCTTACCAAACCACCTACAACAACAACACCATATTTGTGAATGCAAGTTTACAAAATTTGGGCACTATATTCAAAGCGGAGAAGGATAACTGGCAAAATCTATACACTGGCTTACAAAATGAGCATGAATTGTTTCAAACCAGCATCACTTTGCAGATAACAAAACATCAAAGTGATTTGGCGATGGAAAGTAAGGTGATGGATGCTCTCACCCGGAAGACAGAAATGGTTAAAGTGATGGATCTTAAATTGGAAAATGCTAAGAAGAAGGTCAAGGATCTGCTATCTGAGAAGGTCATCATGAAAAGCTGCATCTCAAATGTTGCAGGCTTACTTTCAGATATCATTGAGACTAGGGATCCAAGGATTTCAATCACATTTCGGAAGCATTTAGCTGAAAAGCTAGATCTAGTATTTGTGATGCTTCACCGTCTGGAGGGTGTTTCGCCGTAGAACACTGATCCAAAACAAAGGGGAGAAGGTGGATCTGGAGTGTCAGGAAACGAACCTCCAAAAGCGCCAACCAAACCCATTGTCAAGACAGAACCTATAGGCAAGGAAAAACGATTGTTGAAGTGCCCATAATTGACAATGACAAAGACGAATAGCCTGATGAAGCTGAGCTTAAAAGGCAGAAGGCTCGTGATGCATAGTTGAATGAAAATCAATGTATTGTTTTTTTGGTTATCTTATGAGTGAGTATTATAGTGATCTCTTAGAACTGTATCCTGGTAGATAGGATGATGCTATGCTTAGTGACATCTAAGATATATCTTTTTGTTATTAGTTGGTTAATTGTATGATTATTTGTTATATATATGTGTCGACACTGTGTATGTGTGATTTTGTTCAGGCGGACCTACTTTGTAGGGAAGGCCAATAGACCCAGGGCATCTCAGATAGACTGAAGGCCGGTGGGGAGGGTACCTGTCAGGCCGAAGGCCCAAAGAACAGTCTAGATAGGTTGAAGGCCTGGTTGTTGGATAAGGTGTCTAAGTCCATAACTATTTCTGGTATGTACTTGACCCGACCCGGCATGGTCCATTTGGGTTGCATGGCACCATGCAATTGGATAGACTAAATGAGAGAAATAACGCTTGGAGATTATTAATATATTATAAGTTCTAATATATTAATAATATTATTTGATTAGTTTGATCAAGAATTAATTTAGAATTAATTAAGTGATCAAAAGATAACTAATTAAATATATGGGTTGATTAAGTAAATCATCCATATCTTGTATAGTGGGCTAAAAGGCTCCATGGATCATCAAGTTGGGTTCCACCCATAGGATGCTCCATGGATGCTCCATGGGAGTTACAAACCCATGGGTCATGGAAATGAAGAGTCATGACACATTAGGGTTTAACCCTAGATGTGTCAACACTATATAAGTAACATGATCTCCTCCCAAATCGGTTACACACTAAAAATAGAGGGCTTGGCCGATTTTGTGAAGTGAGTATTCTCTCATAAGTTCTTCCAAGAGCATTTGGTGTTGTGTGAAGCATTTGAGGCATCACACTTGGGGTGCTAGGCTCACAAGGTTTCAAGGAACACAAGCAACAACAAGGTAAGTTATTCTATCTATACTTTATGTTAAAATTGTTCCCCATGTATGCTAGATAGGAATATAACCTTGGAATTCAACTTTGCATGACAAATTAGACAAACATAGATCCAAGGTTATTAGGGTTGCATGTACACTTAGGAAGTGTTAGAATGCTCAAAACCCATCAGTGGTATCAGAGCCTAGGCTTGTTTGTTCTTATTTGTGCTTAAAAGTTGAAAACAGAATCGGAAATTTGCTGTCTGCGAATGGACTCGTCGAGTCTATAGGGGGGACTCGTCGAGTCCATGTGTATCTTCAACCAACTCGGCGAGTCATGTTCATGCACTCGGCGAGTAGGGTCGAATGAGTGCAGAATTTCGATTCATTGCTGGAAATGAATTAGAAACATTACCCTAAACTGTTTTAGTAAATGTAAACTTGTTTTTGGTGGTGTAATGTCTTGCTAATTCATTTACAACAACTAGTTATCAAAATTACAAAGTTTTATGTAATTTTTGATTGTGTTCATATTCATGTTCTTGTTCTTATGATGTTTTAGATGATCATAGGAATTATTTGTAACCTATTTGGTAGTTTAATTCTTGATCATAATGTGTTTTAATGGAGTCCATAACTTATCCTTAAGTTATGGAAAACCAAGAGTCACACTTGAGTTAAAACCATTAAGAAAACACAAGAGTTAGAAAAATGAAGAGTCTTCATTTTATTACTCTATTAAACTCATAAGTTACAAGAAATGAAAAGTTTTGAAAGTTACAAAACTTGCCCTCAAGTTTTGGAACAAGTAAAGTTAAGTTAAAACTTTAGTTCCAACCCCTAGAATTTTAAAAGTTAAAATTCAACCCTTATACTTATATTATGATAATTTAATAATTATATATATATGTATAAGAATAAAGTCGTCTTACCGCTAGTACGCCTCATTCACGAAGCCGGTCTATAAGGTGGGTATAAGGTTGTTGCCTATAAAATGGTGACTTAATGGGTGATATTCTCACCCACCGCTTGCTTGACTGGTGGAGGGTCGTTAGCCGAACGGGTAAGACAAGGACTTATAAATTCTCATTCAAAGTATGATGAATATAATAAAGTAACTAAATGTTTATTAAATTCCCAATCTTAGTTACTTTAGGAAAAATGTGAATAAGGTGCTAATCCATGAAATTACACTTTACACTTTGTCTAAGTCGTTGGTGGAGCGTGTGTGGTTAACCGGCACACTAACTTGGACTTAACAAGGTAGGTAAAGGGTGACTTAAGGTTTATTATAGTATCGGTGGAGCGTGTGTGGTTTACCGGCACATCGATTGAGTGATAAACTTTAAGGGTACCAAGTGATTTGCATGGTTACTTCACACCTCGTTTTGTGATCCTCGGCATCCCAGTCACAAAACCTGGAGGGCACTCCCGAGATTGAAACATGCCTTTGAAAAGTTCATTGGATCTCAAAGAATCTAGGAATTTCTAAAACCAATAAAAACTAAATATCTAATATTTCGGTTTTCGTGGTGGAAATTGGTGAATCGTCATTCACCTACCTTTCAAATATGGTATAGCTTAGATTACGGCATACCTCTTCTAAGTTATATTATATTGTGATTGGATCCTAGCCTTAATATTACATTTGGGTGTTTTATTAAGGACTCTCTTAAATCTAAACTAAACTTGTTCTTCTTTTTCAGATGTCTTCAAATAATGCTTCTGGCTCGAATCCTAATGGCTCCTTTACTCTTATGAGTTTGTGTGGGAAAGTCACCTTTGATGGATCCAACTTCAATAAGTGGATCAGAAACATCAGGATGATTACCCGCTACGAGGACAAAGAATATGTCCTTGACAAGGAGCTTAAGGAAATTGACGAGTCCACTGCAACTCCCCAGGAGATCGCTGACTTTCATACTCATGAAAGAGATGCAACCAAGGTGGCTTGCATCATGTTAGCCACCATGACAGCTGAACTCCAAAAGTCTTATGAAGATTTCTACCCTTATGAAATGCACCAAGATTTGATGGAAAGATACCATCAAAGTGCACGACAAGAGAGGTACGAAGTCATCTGCTCCATGATAACAACCATGATGAAGGACGGAGAGTCCGTCACGAGCCACATGCAGAAAATGCAAAGGTATGTGGATCGTTTGCTGAAGCTCAATGTGAACTTCCCTGAGGAGCTTGCAATAGATATCATTTTGCACTCCTTACCATCGTGCTATGATCAATTCCGCATGACATATCACATGAACAAGGAAGAGGTCACCCTCAGCAAACTTCAGGGACTTCTCAAGACCGCAGAAACAGGTCTTAAGGGGAAGTCGGTTGCTATCACTCCTACTCCAGACTCAACTCCGGTCTTGGCAATCGGGCAAAGTCGAGGGAGGAAGAGAAAGAGATCTTCAAAGGGTACCAAGGCTCGGACCCTTGATGGCTCTTCTTCAAGTGGAACCAAGAAAGGTTTCATTACTCCTTCTTCTGACCCAAAAGAGGCTGAATGCTTCTATTGCCATGAAAAAGCTCATTGGAAGCGGAACTGCCCAAAGTACCAGCAAGATGTAAAGGATGGGAAAGTCAAACCCAACCATGCAGGTATTTACACTATCATTTCTAATAACTCACCCCATTCGAAATCTTGGGTCCTTGATACAGGTTGCGGTATTCATATTTGTTGTGACTTGCAGGGACTAGGAAGAAGTGAGAATGTGGAGCAAGGAAGAATAAACTTAATCATGGGGAATAGGAAAGTTACACCTGTCACCAAGATTGGAGTTTATACTTTATCGCTAAGTAGTGGGTTAAATTTAGATTTGAATAAATGTTGTTATTCGCCAGAAATGGCAAGAAATATTATTTCCTTTCATGCATTGTACAAACAAGGTTTCACCTTTTCGTTTGATAATGAAGTTGGTTCGATTAATGCTTTCTTTAATAATGTACTTTATTTTAAAGCATTACCTTGTGATGGTGTGTATGAAGCTGTATCTATTGTAGATAACTTAGGAAATAATGTTTTGTGTATTGATTCTACTAATAATAATAACTTGGATAAAGCATCATTATGGCATTGTCGTCTTGGACATATAAGCAAGAAACGCATAGGCCAACTCCAAAAGGATGGAGTCTTGGAGTCGTTTGACCTAAAGTCAAATGATAGTTGCGAATCATGCTTACTTGGAAAAATGACAAAGTCACCCTTCACAGGCTCGTGTGAAAGGGGTGAAGGTTTGTTGGACCTTATACACACGGATGTGTGTGGACCATTCAAACATGCCACAAGGGATGCTAATCGTTATTATTTGACTTTTACTGATGATTACAGTAGATATGGATATGTCTACTTAATCAAGCATAAGTCAGAGACTTTCGAGAAGTTTAAGGAATTTAAACAGGAAGTCGAGAATCAATTGGGCAGGAACATTAAGATGCTTCGATCCGATCGAGGTGGTGAGTATCTTAGTTCAGAGTTCCTCGACTATCTAAAGGAATGTGGGATTGTCTCACAATTGACACCTCCCAGGACACCGCAGTTGAATGGTGTGGCTGAGAGGCGTAATCGAACCTTGTTGGACATGGTTCGTTCCATGATGAGTCGAGCTTCGCTACCAATCTCATTCTGGGGGTATGCCTTAGAGACTGCCGCCCATATCCTTAATCTAGTCCCTACAAAGAAAGTTGCCAAAACTCCTCACGAGATGTGGACTGGTAAAGTACCTAAACTAGACCACATCAAGATTTGGGGTGCGAGGCTTTCGTGAGACGCGAGACTCATGATAAGCTCGAACCCCGAAGCGAGAGGTGTATTTTCATCGGCTACCCACAGCAATCCTTTGGTTACCTCTTCTACAGACCTAGTGACAATGTGGTCTTTGTAGCAAGAAGAGGA